GGTGCCGTTGTACGGCGGTATCAGATTGGGGTATGACATCAAGTCACAGTCTCACAGATTTACAATCAGTTCAAATCAATTCATCAAATGCATACATCAAGTCATCTACTATTTTCCATCAAGTCCATCTTAGAATTACAAACCTCAGAAAGTTAGAATATAAAAGGGGTTTATATAAGCTGTGATTGTGCAATGGCTGCCTCATTAAAAACCTTTCTAGGTAAAAACTCACACCTCGTGAGAAAACCCTAGAAAGGAAAAGAGTACAGCCCATAGCTAAAATGTTCATATCAATTACAATCATCCAGTTCAAGGGTTTACATCAATTTCATCATCAAGATACATATTCTCATAAGCATTTTGAAGCTCCACATTCTCAGTAGTATGCTGACTTTTTGCATCTGCTAGCTCCCAGTCCTTGATCACTGCCAGAATTTCCACCAGCCTAGGGTTTAGACGCCGCCGACGGTCCTCGATGATCCTGCCAGTTAAGCTAAAAGTAGACTCGGACGATATAGTAGAAACAGGAACAGTCATAACATCTTTAGCTAAGATTGAAAGAACAGGATAAGTTAGTTTGTGCTGTTGCCACCAACTAAGGATATTGAAGTCATTATCATATTGGTTGACAGTGTCACTGTCAAGATATGCAGACAGTTCAGAAGGATTGAGATTAGCAGTTGAAGAAGCTGCCTGAAGCAAAGCAGTAGCAGATGTCATCCTGGATAATGAACCAGCACCAAGCCCAGCACCTGGACTGGCATCAGCATTACCAGCACCAAGCCCAGCACCTGGACTGGCACCAGCATTACCAGCACCTGGACTGGCACCTGCATTACCAGCACCAAGCCCAGCAGCAACAACAGAACCAAAAATCTTCCCCCATGCAGTCCTTTTCTTACCAGTGGAAGGGCCTGGAATAGTGGAACTATGCAATCTAACAGAACCAAACTTTCTTTCATACTTAGCAAAAGTATCAGACAATGAAGCTCTAACAGTTGTTAAATAAGCAGAGTAATCATCACTAATGAGTTGAGCCATAATCTGAAGCACTTTACTAAACCCCCTAATCTTGGCCCTAGGGTCCAAGATAAATGCAAATGAATAAAGAATTGGAATTTTAGACCAGTAGTTCATAAACTTAGTTTTCATGGGACCAACAACATTTGCAAGGTTTTGAACATTGCCATATGTGTTTAGATGTCCAGCAATCTCTAAAATGTGATGCATGATTAATGGAGATGTTGGATAATAAACACCAGACAAAACAACAGTTGAATCATAAAATTGTTCAAGGAAACACAAAACAGATTCAGCACATGCCCAATGTAAGTCTGTGAGTAATGGATGGTCATTAACAAAAGGATGTTGTGTACTAATAAATACTGTGAATGGTTCCCTATGTGGTATGAGATGCTTAAGCATTAGATAAGTTGAATTCCATCTAACATCCATGTCCAAACCAAACATACGAGGACGATAACCCGCAGCAATGCAAACATTTTTATATGTAGCAATGCGCTGATTAGATGCATTCAAGAATGAAATGGCAGCTCTAATGTCATTTAGCATGGGCTTGAACTTGTCAAGTCCAGCCTTAACAATCAAATTGATGATATGACATGCACAGCGTTGATGCAAAAATAAATCACCAATATAACCAGACAGAGCAGGAGTAAGGGTGTCCATAGCTTTAGAATTAGCAGAAGCATTGTCTAATGTAATAGAGAAAACCTTATCAGTAATACCATATTCTTCAGCAACAGCAATCACACGCTCAGCAATATTAGCACCAGTATGTGACTCATCAATAAGCCTAAGACCCAAGACCCTCTTTTCTAATTGCCAATAAGAACTAACAAAGTGAGCTACAACACTCAAATAATCTTCCTTAGCATGACCAGACCATATATCAGATGTCAAAGCAATAGAGCTAGCAGAATTGAGACGATCAATAATAACAGAACGACGATCCTTAAACAACTTATAAAAATCTCTGGTAGTAGTTTGTCTAGAGACAGGAACAAATCTAGGGTTATGAGCAGCCTTAATATAGTTCACAAAAGCAGGAGATTGACCAAAACTGATTGGAAGATCCTCTCTAGCAATCAATCTACACAATTCAAACCTAGCAACTTCAGGACTATATTCCCATGGAATAACAGAACCATCTGCACTAAATCTAAGCATGGACTGAGGCAAAGCATTAGACCCAAGCTTTCTAGGTTTGCATGACTTAATATGCCTAAGCAAATGTCCAGTGCCAGCAGAAGAACGAGCACTCAAAGTTTTATGACAGTAATTGCATTTAGCAGAGACTCGAACCCTATTACCATTGGTCGTTTCATAAAGTTCCTCAAAGTCATCCCATACCTTGGAGGTTTTGGTCTTCTTGTTGGTACAAGTCGCACTAGAGCCAGTCGGCGTCCCATTGCCACTGTCGTCGACCGGCGGGTCGTCGTCATCGACATTCACATGGATCGGGATGTCGGAGGTATTGCCGAACACCTCCACACGATCCTCCTCCACATCATCATCGTCATCACCGCGCATCCCCATAGTCCTCAACTCGTAGTTGACAGAGGTAGGATCGTCGTCCATCGCAGGCACTCTGGTCCCTCAACGGCGGCTGCCGCTAAGCAACGGGCTTGCGACCTGCAAGCAGCCAACAACACTCAAGGTTAGGGTCGGAAATGGAGAAAAAAAAAAGAAAAACGATGGTTCCATGCTTGTACCTGCACAGCCGGAGCACCGGAGTTGCCGTTGAAGACGATAGGCTCAGAGATCTACGAGAAGACCAAGGGATCTGGCGAAGAAGAACAAAAGGGAAAGAGACGAAGAGGAAGGCTGGATCTGGAAGAGTGGAAGGACAATGACTCAGGCGACCATGCGTGGCCGGTGGCCCCCATCCTCATGCGCCCCTCATGCGAGTCAGGCGAGGCATCGATCGGAGACGAAGAGGAAGGCTGGATCTGTAAGAGTGAAAGGGAGGCGACTCGGTGAGTCTCACCGGTGCGCGCCTGAGGCCCTGAGTGAGTGAGCGGCGGACGGTGGAGGAGGAGATCTGGTGGGCGGTGGAGCGTCGGAGGCGGATCGGCGGAGGCGGTTGAGCGGTGGCGGCTAGGGTTAGGGTTAGGCGGAGAGGCGGAGAGGCGGAGAGCGAGAGGCGAGAGGGGACTGGGGAGGGGAGGGGCGGCGCTCGCTGGCTTATATATGCGGGCGCACGCGGCGCGGCCTGGCTGTCTGTTGGGCTGGGCCGTGCTCGTGCCTACCGTTGGTACGGGCCGTGGTCGTGCCGACCGTTGGGCCGTGCCGTGCCGGGCCGGCCCATCGTGCCGACCTCGGTCCGTGCCGTGCCGGGCCGGCCCACCGTGCCCAGCCATAGGCCCAGGCACAGCCCAATAGTCGTGCCGGGCCGGCATGGGCCCGATTGCTACCGGGCCATGCCGTGCTTGGGCCGGGCCAAATTCCCGTGCCATGGGCCGGGCCATCGGGCCTCGGGCCATATGGCCAACTATAGGCTCGTGTTGCTGCGCTCGATGCGCAAGTACTCCACTAAGATGTTAGTTTGCAACCCGGCGACCAAGGAGCTTGCCGAGCTACCGGCCTGTGCGCCGGACTACTTCGGAGTGCAAGCGGTAGGCTTCTACGCCGACCAATCTACTGGCAAGACGAAGGTGGTCCACTGCTTCATCCGCCACTGCGACAAGACCTACACGGACTACAGCGTCGGATGCGAGGTTTTGTCCCTCGGCTCGCCGGCGTGGAGGCCGCTCGCCGACCCACCCTACCTCGTCAAGACCAAAACGTCGCCGTCCACCGGCAGCTGCACCACCCCAGGGATTGTACGCTTCGACATGTGCAGCGAGGAGTTCGCCAGTTTCCCGTGCCCACCGTTCATGGAGCGGCAGAAGATGTCTGACATCGCTTGTGGGGAACTGACGGAGCTGGGTGGCAAGCTGTGCTATGTGCATGCTCCCGCCGACGATAGAGTTGAGCTCTGGACAGCTTCCGCCGCCGACGGAGGCGGCAGCAGGCCACGGTGGTCGCTGCAATGCACCGTCGTGCTACCGCACTCCTTTCACACCTTCTTCCAGTTTACCTACGATTACCAAGGAGGCATATGTTTCTACGTGGATTACGCCATGATTTACCGGTACGACGTCGAACGCAGAGTTGTGGAACGAGTGGTGGACATGCTCGAGGAGATGACCTACTTCGACAGTTCAAGGTGCAAGCTGTACCGCTGTGATGGGGATTGGATGCACCACGCCATTCAGTACAGTGAGAGCTTGGTATCCATCCAAGCAAATTAATAAATTAGACTGTGCTCGAATATAGTTTGGTTGATTTCGGCTGACAATTCTGTTTTCGGTTCATTTCGGCTGATCAAAGTGTTAGTATATTATAAATCTTGTGGGTATATTGTACATATTTGATGGGACATGTGTTCAAATCGCACAAAATTGTATTGTTTGTAAAAAAACGAAGAATGGAACACGTCATCTATGATGCCTGACTCTGATATTCAGTTGTGGCAATTCAGTGTACTGCTGATTTCGGCTTTTTTTTGGCGAAAAGAAAAGAATGGAACACGTCATTTATGATGCCTGACTCTGATATTCAGTTGTGGCAATTCAGTGTTCTGCTGATTTCGGTTTATCTTCTGTTGTGTCATCACATTCTTTGAGACCTCCGTTTGTTGAAACGCTTTGGGCACTGAAGAAGTCCGGCGTGCCGTGTCCGGCAACACGGATTGCAAACAAATATTTGCTCCACGATGTCGGCCTCGGCGGCGCCGGCGGGGGCACGCTGCCGCTTGGCCGGCGATGCATTCTCACGTTGTGCGTTCTAACATTTGCTGGTGGACAGGTGGAGTCATTGATCTCGTTGTACTCTACCTTGTCAAAAGTTTTCTAGAATTTTTCACAATCTCATTTGTATTGAATTTTGATTGAAGAAAGGTAAACGAGACATCCTGCGAGGTATTAGAACCCATTCCCACTCAAATGCATGAAAGGGGTGAACATCCACTCTCAGTAACTTTCCTGGATATAAAATTGTAACAGAAGTCAATCTAGTTAATTTCCTTTGGCTGATACAATCCCTTAATTAATTCGCTTTTACGGATACTAGGCTCTCCCTGTACTGAATGACATGGTGCATCCACCTAAATCCACGATTTATGTAGTACTGCTTGTCCCTTGAATGGAAGTAGGTCATCTCCTTGTTCATGTCGACCACACGTTCAACAACTTGGCGTTGGGTGTCATGCCTGTCAATCACGGCGAGATCCAAGTTGAAGAAGATGCCGCCATGGCGATCGTCGGCAAACGGGACGACGAGCTGAGTGGGGCGCCATAGCTCGACGGCGCAATGCCGCGACCACCGCGGCCCGTCGTCGGCGGCGGAAGCAGCCGCCATCGTCCAGAGCTCAACGGTATGGCCGGCGACGACGTGCGCGTAGCACAGCTTGTTGCCGGACAGCTCCGTCAGGGTCGCGGTCGCCGGCGAAGTGCCGTCGTGATGCACGCACGGCGGGCTCGGGAAATCGTCGAACACCTCGCGGCGCACGTCGAAGCGTAGCATCCCTGGGGTTGGCGCTGCGGTGGTGATCCAGTAGATGGCGCCGAGGATGCACGGCGACGCGGCGCCGGCCCTGACGGGGCATGGCGAGTCGGCGACCGGCCTCCACGCCGGCGATCCGAGGGAGAAGACCTCGCACCCGACGCTCTCGTCTGAGCGGGCGAAGCAGCGAACCACCTTCATGTCGATCTTGCCCGTAGATTTGTCGGCGCCGAAGCCCACGCTTTGGTTCCCGTGCGCGTCCGGCGTACCGGGCGGCACCACGGCGAGCTTCTTGGTCGCCGGGTTGCAGACGAACATCAGAGAGGAGGAGAGGCTCTTCTCCATGGAGAACACCAGCACGAGCCCGTTGCATTGCAGGGGCAGCTCCCAGTCGGCGCCGTCGTCCCAGTCGGCGGCGGCGGCGTGCGAGGTCGGGGACCACCATGCCCTCACGTGCGCGAGCTCCGCGGCGGCGCCATGCCCCGGGTAGCGAAAGAAGCCGATGGTCCCCTGCATCTGTTGCCGCTGCGGCCTCCAGCCCCACCACGGCAGGACGAGCATGGACGGCGGATGGCGGCGCCGCTCCGCCGCCGTGGAATGGCGCAGCTGGAGGCGCGCGAAGCACGGGTCGGCGACCATGGCGCGCCACGACTTGCACACGGACCTGAACCGCAGGACGGACTTGACAGGGAGGCGGAGGAGGATTTCCTCCACAATGTCTTCCGGGATGCCAGCCGCCGCGGCGCCGGCGCCGGCGGGTTGGACTTGGACACACAGCCGCCGCCGCCGCTTGGCCACGGGCACATCGTCATCGTGATCTCTCATCTGATTATTTAGTTCCCAGTTCACGAGTAAGCCTAGCACCTGTCTGTGATAAGGCTGCAGTATATATAACTCACTTTTATAGGGACGATCTCCCTATCTGATTCTGAGATTAAATCGGATTTATTGATTGTTGAAGGATTCCGTATCGGGTTGGACGCCTTCCGGCAACGCGTTGGTCCTATGTGGGATAAACAAAGTCCATTTTGCCTCTTTCAATGATAGTCCAGGTCTAATTTTGGCCACTTAACCATAAAACCAAATTAAGAAGGCTTTCTCAACTATCGAAACCATGTACATTTATATCTCTCTGGATGGTTTAAACGACGATTTTATATATCCTATGGTGTGTTGAGTTCACGCTAAAATTAGAAGTTTGATTGAAATTGAAACGATGTGATGGAAAAGTTGAAAGTTTGCGTGTAAAAAAGTTTTAATGTGATGAAAAAGTTGAAAGTTTGAAGAAAAAGTTTCGAACTAAACTCGGCCCTAGTGAAACGTCCCCAAGAATTCATCCGGTGTGACGTCTACATAGTGCTTTCGTTCAATTACAATAACTTGGTAAGGAAAACATAAAAACTTAATGAGACGCAACAATTCTACCTGAAATGTCAAGAGATAATGAATCTCTCTAATGCCCACGTCGGTTATATAAAGAAAATAAATTAAAAATATTTTAGAACCACGTTCCACTTACCTTCCTTTTCGATAAACGGGAGGGTAAACTGATTTGCTATTGTTTTCTTGTTTAATATGTATTCTCTTCGTCCCTAAATATAAGGGGTTTTGATAAGATGTGACACATCCTAGTATAAAGAATCTGGATATGCTTCCGTCCAGATTCGCTATACTTGGATGTGTCGCATCCAACCAAAATCCCTTATATTTAGAGAATAGAGACCGATGGAGTTTGATTCAATTGTGCTGCTGACAAGTAAGTATAGATGGTCAAATAGGCCATTGGGCCCGAGCACGACCAAACACGGCCTAATCAACACGCCGAGCCGTGTCGTGCCTGTCCATGGGCTATACCAACAGTCTAGGAACAGCCTAATAGGTTCGTGTCGTACACTCGTGCCAGGCCGAGCCAAAGGCATGACAAGTATATCGTATTCTTTCTTGGAATAAATGTAATTTGCCCTGAAATTTTTATATTTTGGTCCTTGGCGCCCCGCTCTGCCGAGTCAGCAAGCCCTCGTAGGCTCTGGTGCCACGGTGGCACGGCCGCGGCGCCATTGTGGCTGGTGGCGCCATGTTGGAGGACGGCGTCAACCACTCTGGCGCCCCAAAAAGGACATTCCCGGTTTAAGTTTTTCCAGGGACCTATTTGTAAAATAAGTTTTCAATAAGGACCAAAATATAAAAATTCCAGGTAATTTGCCGCCCTCGGTCATTTGGATTGCTGTCTGTATGATGGAGTATGATATATGACTGATCATCCATACATTTGGAGAAGTGAAATGTTTACGTTTTGATTTCGGTCTTTTCTAAAGCAAAAGGCAGCCCATATCTTGTGGAGATCAATAGTTTCAGACTTCGGAGCAGAAACTGAACAAAAATCAGTTCAGCACTTGAGCTGATCTGATCTGGAGTTGTGTCCCCGTCGACGCCGATACCTTCCTCACCGGCGGTGCCACTCCAATCGTCGCCACGTAGCCGTCGACAGCACATGGCGGATGCCACCGCCGGCCGTCGCGGCGTTGGACACACACAGAGCAACAGCAACTGACGCCGCCGCCGCGCGCAGTCGATGCATGTTGGGTTGGATGTTTCACCAAATCGCGTTAGACTTGGCCCTCCAATCCACACTGGTGTTCGCTGCCTCCGCGGCCGGTGATAGGACGAGTTCGGCTCCGAACGCCTCAGTGCTGCTCTACTCGCACATGAGGTGTTCGTTCAAATGCTTGCGAGTTGTTCGCCTCTTGTTCTGCTTCTACCTATCACCGGCGAGACGTAGCCGGGACGACGATGCTGGCAGCCGTGGACGCCGTGGCTGACTCTCGCCGGCCGTGAGCCTGTGCAAGCAGCAGGCAGCGGCAACAGGTTCTCGTCGCGAGGCGAGGATGACGTCATCGAGCATGTGGGCCCACCTGTCAGCGGACATGGGACTGCGGCCCCACCTGTCAGCGAAGGGTTGAACTCCCTTCAAATTGCACCCGCCTTGCCGCCGAGAGCGCCGAGCCGTAACCTTGGCCAACGAACTTCTCTCCTCCCTCCGTTCTCCCCTCGCCGGTGAGCCAAGAAACCAAGAACCCACTCGCCGCCTCCGCTGCTCGCCGGACAGAGCGCCAAGAAACCAAGAGCCGCCTCGCCTGACGCCATGGGTGGTCGAAAGAAGCCGGGTTCCAAGAAGATGCCAACCCCTGCTGTGATGCGCATCCGCTCTCCACCTCCAGACCCGCACAGGAGGGCGCGAGCTGCGCCCCGAAGGTGCATCCCTCCATTGGCTTCGGATTCCGAGTCGTCTGCTTCTTCTCCGACGACTTCTCCAGCCGCCGCCGCGGCTGCTCTGCCTGGCATCGCTCAAGCCCGGCACGAGTTCTTCGCCAAGCACACGGTGTACCACTACGGAGCGCCTCCGACTGCTCAACGAAACGAGCAGCGGGAGAGCGCGGGAGGATGCCAGAGCGTGCGCGGCGGAGTTCGCCGCCAACCAGCTGACGGCCTTGCCGCTGCGGCGGGGCGAGGACATCTCCGCGGCTTCCTCCTCGCGCCGTCAAGAATCGGTGGCGGAGCGCGCGGGGCGGTGGATGCTCCTGGACTCATCGGCGATCGGTTTCTCGACTCCGGCCACGGCAGCTTGGCCGGTACCGGAATGGACGCACCAGCCGGCGGGGAACGCATTGGAGTACGGCCCATGGAATCCTCCGACGATGACAGCACCTTCTGCTCCAGGTGCGCCCGAGCTCAGCGGGGAGCCGCCAGCGCCACCGCCCTCGTCACGACCGCTGTCGCCGCCGCCACCTCCGCCAGGTGTCATTCCACCACCGCCGGGCGTGATCCCGGCGCCGCCACCTGCGTGGTGGACGGAGCACCACCACCACCCGGCGGCGTCTATGCCACCACGAGGACCATAGGTGAGATTTCCTGGTGATGCACCATCGTCCATCGGTTTCCTCGCTGGGTTCTTCGGGGACCAATTCTTGATCTTTTCTTGTGTCAAATTTCTGCATTGTGTTAGTTCCATTCCTGTATGCAATTCTTTGTTCAGTTCTTGCAATAGTTTCCTCCTCTATCGCTAATTTGCTAATCCTAATCGTGCGCTGCGTCCTGCGCACGGGAAAGTAATTCTTAGTAGCATTTTAGCTCAAGATATCCGTTCTGTGTGTTGCACTAGTAGAGGGAGCAGTTCTTGGTTTCATCTAGGTTGTCAGGTTCTTCACTTCTTGCTCCTCTGAATTTGCTCTGCTCCAGGATGCATTTCTTAGGATGATTCTTGATAACAGCGAACTGTTACTGTTGCTAAAATATGACCTGAAGCTAGTTTTGTGATTTCAGAACAATGACTTGTTAGTTGCATACATGTTCGTTCTCAATCCTGATAAAGAAATTCTGGTTTCATGCACAGATCCTTAGATCAGAAAATTCAGTTGCTCCTTTTGTTGTTTTGTCTTGGTAGTGGTGTTGAGGGTTTAAGCCCAGATCCAGCTCCTTTTCAGTCTAAGAAAAATGGTTTTTGATTTAAGACAACCCTACATGCATTGTATATACTCTAACTAAAATGTCTTATTGTTTTGTGACAACTCATGTACTGATGATATCTTTCTAATGAACTGTTTTTAATAAGACTCTATGCACTTGTCATCAAGGTAAATGCACACATGTTTTGTTGAGAGAAACATTTTTTCTTTGATCCAAAATTTTATTGTCAGAAACTTGTCTGAAAAATAAGTAGGTATTCAGAGTTTGGCTTGTGGTTTTTCAATCTGTGTATAGATGCTAAAATATGGCCTGAAGCTAGTTTTGTTTGTGATTCAGAACACTAACTTGTTAGTTGAAGTGAAGGTCGGGTTTTATCCATTATCTAAAAACTCATGCGCAAACCTGATACAGAAAATACCAGTTTCATACACCAATCTAGTTCAGAAAATTCATTGATCCTTTTTTTAACTTGTTAGTAGAGTTAAGGTATTTAAGACCAGATCATCTTAGTAATCTATTTTCAGTCTTAGCAACAGTCTTTGATTTAAGAGAGTCTTACATGCATTGCACATACTCTAACTTGTAAAAATGTTCACTTGTACCACTGTACTATAGACAAATGACAACACTGTTGCCATTAAACCATGACACAAGCTTCTGGTCATAATGCTGGTTTCTAGATGAGTTAACCCTTTTATTATTTTTGCTGTTCACTTAAATATTTTTACATAATGGTGACCCCCAGATGTTTTTAGCTGATCTCTTAATATTGAACAACTTGTGAGTTGTGTATCTGTAATTAACTTGTCTTATTGTTTTATTTGGTCCTTTGCAAATTCAGTTGCTGATCGGTTGAGACACCCCAATGTTAATGCAGCCTAGAGGAAGAGGAACCGCAGGAGCAGAACCTCTGACAATCACTTCTTCATTATCTCTTCAGAAGTTTCTGCTGCTTCAGATCGAATGACAGAGAGGGGATGTCTTCTTTTTTTCTTCTTCTCCTTTTTCTTCTTCTTCTTTTGTTAATATGGGCTCAGGGTAGGAAATCGTCAAACCTTCTGTTTCCCGGTTGTTAATTAGCTATTACCCATTATGTTCTGATGAAGTTCACAAACTGCTGTAAGCAACCGTACAATGTGCGCCTGAACAAATTGTGCGTTCCGGCATTATATTGGTATAAATCTTGTGAGTGCATTCTACAGATTTGATGGAACATGTTACATGTGTACAAATCGCACAAAATTGTATTGTTTGTAAAAAAAAAAAAAACGAAGAATGGAACACGTCATCCATGATGCCTGACTCTGATCTTCAGTTGTGGCAATTCAGTGTTCTGCAGATTTCGGCTTATCTTCTGTTGTGTCATCACATTCTTTCAGATATATCTCACAATTTGGATCATAAGCAACCGCTCGTTGCACGAATTTGACAGCCTCAGATTTCCGTCCCTCATTAATTAGTATACTGCAAAGAGATATCAGCGACTTCAATAAACCTCATTAATTAATATGAATAAAAAGATATTTGGCAAAATTAAGTTAGCTGCATGCAGTTGAAAGCATGACAACACAACACATACATATAATCTCTAAGGTTAGACCAATAGCACAATGTGTAAAAAATTACGCACAGCCAGACTCATGATCCTTATAAGAGGCACAAGAGATGCAGTACAATTTCGAAAACAATTATCAGGTACAAAAAGTTACGCGCAGCCAGATTCATGATCCTTATAAGAGGCGCAAGAGATGCAATACAATAGTGAAAACAATTACCAAGCAATTGCACTTTGTTTCACAGCAAATGAAACTTGAAAATACGCACTCTTGATGAAATGACATGAAAAAGATTGTTTACCTTCCTAGAGCAACCAATCCTTGGTAATAGCATTTTTTGTTAATGGGTTTTTCTGGTTCCTTGAGCTCTGCTAATCTTTGGAGGTTTTCGATCGCCATTTTGCTATCACCCTAAAATAGAAAGAAGAAACAAAATGCTTGTACTGTCCACTATCATTCAAAATGCTTTTAAAGCCAAAGCATCATGTAGTATTAATCTACCTGCCGCATACGTGAAAGCCCTGCACCGTAGCATGCAAGCACAAGAAGTGGATCCTGCTCTTCAATCTACACAACAAAGAACAAGAAGTCTTACAATAGTGCCTACCTGCCTGGTATACGGCTTCAAACCATCTTCAAGAGTACTAAAGAATATACAATGTTGCAACATACCTTTGGTATAGCATGTTCAAAACACACTGTGGCTTCAGGAAACAACCTGTTTGAGAACAATGTCTGTCCCATACCAATCAGTGCTACATAAAGACTAGAGTCTTTCTCTATTGCTGTTCTGTGGAGACACAATTATCCATTAACTTCCACTGTATGCAAATGGGATATTAGCCAACTGAAAGCTTAACACCAAGTCACCCTGATACCTGATCAGTGGAATAGCTTGATCCTGGTTTCCAGTTTCCAAATGTTGTAATGCTTGCTAAAAATAAGTCAAGAGACTACATAATGAAAAATATTCCAAGGCAAGATTATGTAGATTATATGCGTTCATAACGAAAAAGAGATTCATACTTCAAGTAGTTCCTCAGGTGAACTGGACGCAGATACTTTTCCTTCCATAATGTTATTGGCGGTTTCATTATTTGTTGATGTCAAATTAGTGTGCATGTGAGCATCTTCAAGAGGCCGTTCCTGAAAGTTTTATCACAAAGAAGAAAACAAACTTCAGAAGCATGGCATGTGTGTTCATGAAGATTGAATGCAATAATGTGGTCTAGCTGGGACAAAAGTGGGTCGGGAGCTAATAAATCGACATTTAGATTATCATGATGACAGTGGCTACATACAGCCGATGCCTCTACCTGCATCATCTTATGACCCACACGAGGAAACTTCTGGTGAGCTCTAGTATCAGGCAATCCCAACACCTTCTTGACAGCGTCATTTTTGAGGGACAATTGCTGCATTTATATCATTGAAAAATTAGATGCAATGCAAAATACAGTGTAACTTTCATCACGCAATGTTCATTTAAACTAAAGTATATGAGAACCTAACCTAATTGTTTGTTGACCACTGGAACTGTAACAACACATGTCAAACTTGTCCATATCGACTAACAGCAAATTGCAGAAATCAAAGAGAGAACTCTGCCGAACCTGGTCTGAACCTATCTTCTTTATTCTAAATAAATAAAGACTCTATTGAATTCTAAACACTTCTCTAGAAAATATGTAAAAGAACTATCATATACATACAGATATTTTGGCATGGGACCACTAGAAACACAGATGCTGGATATTACATTTTGACTAACAAGTAACAAGTGACCTTCTTTACATCAGGAAAAACAAAATATTGTACTGACCTGAGCTACAGTAATTAAACCATTTGTAGTCCAGTAGACCAGGCTACCCTGCCAATCAAAGATAGAAGTAAATGAAATGCAGCACTATTACCTGAATTGTGATCTGAATGAAACAGAAGTTGCAAAGAATTGTGTTCTTTCAGTCTGTTTGAAATTATGGATGATGACAACCATGCTTTCTATAAAAACACCTTCAACTGAATAATTGTATTGAAATCAAATTACACTAATCTAAATTGTAATGAATGGAGTTGGGTATGGGGTATGGAGACCGACAGTAAGGCAGACACCCTTAATTGGCTCCAAGGTCCAGTTGAAGACGACTTAAATTTATTCTTGCTTAAGCAAGATACAGTGACTCAGTGTCTATAAATAACAGCACTTCGAACTATTGATACCAACCACTTGATGCTCCTGCTTCAACTCAATCTTATCTTGAGCAAACTTATTTCATTATTTGTATCTCAACAAGACAAAGCTTGCCCCCCATGACAAGCTGTATGGTGGCTAGTAGTGCGCGCTACAATAGTCGTGCACCTATGATTTTAACATAACATATATCGTGCTTATATTAGTTTGAAAAGTAATCCAATATCATGCTTGCACATGGTACCATTGCAATATCTTAATTCATCCCATGGGCTACATTTTTCCCGGTTTGCTTGTGACAGGCTGACAGCAAGTAGGATTAAGTGAAGCTACTAATCACTATTCTGACACTCAAAATTTGCAGCAGTTAACAACCTCCAAGAAAATAGTTAAGCAAATTTGATTTAATCTCATCAATCTAAATCAAAACGTAGCATAAAGAAAGTCGAACCTTGCACATATTTATCAATCTGATATTCTGATGTGCATGATGCCATGATATTCATCTGTAAATAAATAAAACAATTTGCAAGAAACTGACCTGAGGAATCACATACCCAATAAGAAACAAAGGGATAGTCAGGATTTCAAGGTATACCCTGTAGTACTGCAAATAAAAATAGCAATACATTCAGAAGGAGAAAAGGAAACAGCAGCTAGAATATAACAATTGTCGTGGAACTAAATTCACAGTATTTTGATGAACATTATTGGACCAAATAAAATATTGTTGATGCCCTATTGTAGCTACCAAGTTCAGGACCACTAAACTACCAAACATAATTCATGCCTAATGCCTCTCAAGAATCTTTAGAGATAGCAGCATAACTTGTTCTCACTTATAATTTGACAAGAAAGTAAAGACCTGTCAAATACAAAACTAGCATGTGCCAGTACAGGTTGCAAAAATCGATATGCAGTTCTTCCCAGTGTGCAAAGGTTTCCAGTAAGCGTGTTAGCCCATACAGGGTTGCAATAACCGATTTGCAGTTTTTTTCCCAGTACTCATCAGTTTCAAAACCTGGCCAATTACACTGTGGTCAACTGGTTGGTATGAATAAAATCGCTTCTCTCTGTTACTTGATGGTAACTGGTCAGTTTAAATCAAAATTACCTTTCTCTGTATCTGATTTACACATCCTACAATTTCTAACCCCAAACAACATTTAATAACAAACACCACCCAAATCAATTAATCAACAACATACTACCAGCACCCACTAGGAAGAACCAGTACAGAGGCAAAGCCAACATGCACACGCCAATATAACATCCATTGTACAGTTATAACAATTGTGCCGTTTGACAGTGAATGGGTGCACTGAGAATTTCGACACTGTATGATCTAACTACAGAAGAAAACCTCTTGGTATATTTTTGGTATATTCACCAATTAAACCACACAACTGTATGCATTTATCCACCACTGGTTTCCACCAAACAAGTAAAATACCATGAAATTTTCTGATTGAGTTTTCAATCTCCGATGTTACTATGACAGGATCTTGATAACAAGCCAGTTTCCTATGCTAGTAATTTACTGGGGAACTTGTGACAACTACAGCTTACGTGCATTATATCAATGGTTTTAGGAGCATACCTTTGCCAGTACGCCAAAAATACCTGGATAATGCTTGGTATGGGTTCCATGAAAGGCAATCTGAGACAACAAACCAAACAGTCATCAACATGATCAAAATATGTAGCTTCATCAACATGATCAAAACTAAGTAGCTCTAGGTCAATTCATAGTGGGACTTCAGACTTATTTCTCAAACTACATTGTGCTCCATCCACCATAAGACAGATGAAGTCAGCAACCAATCAGAAATTAAAATCAGCAACAGCATTATTTGAAGCCCCTAATGTACAAAAAATGGAAATCCCTATATTTATTAGAGCAGTTGCAGATTTGTAGATTTAAATTTGAATTTTGTCCTATTGGGCAGCTATATCAACTATTCTCAGTAACCTCTTTTTGGTCTTGATGGTTTATACCAACTTTGCAGAAGGATATCATCAGCTTTGGGTGTTTGCACGACTCAGTATGATATATGCAACATCAAATCAATTATGACAAAATGAAAGCCTACGAGAAGGAAATAGAAGCAAGCAAGCATAGTCTTTACTTCATCAGCCTTTTATAACTTCTATTAGTTAGGCATTAGACTTACATGATAAAAGGTCACACTAGAAAAAGAAAAAAATATTAAACACGACATATGAAACAAAAACTGCACGGAGAATACCTGAATATTTAAGTAATGGAGACCTGCAACTAGGGTAGGAAAAACAAGGCCCGAAGAACCATGTGGAAACTCGGTCAAGTTATGAAACCACAGAATACCACCCTGTATAATTGTCAAAAAAAATGAAAACAAAAGGTTAAACCTGAAGAAGGTCAAAATAAAATAAATAAATTAAAATGGAGTAGACAGTATAAGAATGTGAATATATCTATTGTATTAAGAACCAGAAACCTTGAACATTTGCAATTGTGCATCTGATTCATAGAAATGGGAAAGAAAATTAAACTTCTCTTATGGCAACAAAAAAAAAACAAATTTACCAAGTTTAATGGCCATTTACTTACCATGCTCTGTTCACAAGGTTTCCTTTATTTAAACATGAAAACAACTCATTTGCTGCTTTTATAAAAATGGTGAAATGTACTTCTGACTCACAATGTCACCAGTACCTATTTGTATCACAACTTAAATAGATATTATGTGCTCTAGCTCTTTTGAAAGAATAGTCTAAGTCACCTTGGACAATATAGTACAAATAACGTTCTTTGCAATTCCACATCGCATTTTAATTTTTCAGGGCTAAATGACCCAATGCATGTGTGACAGCATTTGTTAACTGTATTCCATTTGATCCGGCAAACATGCCAAAGGCATAGCCAAAAAAATATTACAAAGTTTTTATTCTATTAAAATTCTAAAAAGACGCATCATAATTTTAATTAATAGAAATGTTTTTTTAGCATATGAAATTATAAAGGACCTTCGGCAATGGAATTTAAAGCATCAAAACAATACTAAAAATGAGCGTAGCTCATGAATGGTTATAAAACAGGGGGGAACACTACATATAATAAAGTATAGCTGCTAGTACAAATGTGTAATATAATAAAAAAAATACCTTGTACATACATTATCTAGTCCAGGGTGATTGCTCAAACACATAGTCCTTATTGTTGACATCCACAGTATAAAGCACGGGAACTGCGTATACAACAAACAATAATGAACAATTCGGAAAACAAATTATGATGCCAATGTAAGATTCGTAGCTATTATTAGACAATATCAAGGATAGAAGACCTTTTAACATTTTTTTAATCATTACCTGGATTGAAAAGTAGGCCCAGTTCCAAAGAAAGGAAGGGCAACCAAGTTCTCGCCTTTTCTTCTGATAGAGAGAGAACTGGTCACGAAAGCTCCTTCCTGATAGAGGAGGTGGGAATGGAGGAGGCACTTTAAAAGGACATATATGAGTGGAATCAGACACAAACACAAGCAAGAAATGTAAAGAATATGAGTTCAATGGGCAGCTGTATGACTAAAATGAAGGCTCTGGCAAACCTAAAATAAGCATTTTGACATAGAATAGAATAATCACTATTACAGCTGGAAGAGTTTAGTATTCATAAAGTATTTTGTTGGATATGGTAAACGTAGATGAATCAATTGGAAATTTAGAAATAAATTTCTCAAAGAAAAAAGAACCATTTAATCATATACGTTACAGGGATAAGCTAGACAATACTCCCTTTGTTCCAAAATATAAGGGATTTTAGTTGGATGGGACATATTTATAGTACTACGAATTTGGACAGAATATGTCTCATCCAACCAAAATCTTTTATATTTTGGGACAGAGGGAGTATATTGTAATGATTTTACTATGATATGAGAAAGCACAGTTTGCAGTTTGCAAAACAAATTTAGAACTTACATTCTGGTAATAGTTTGCCAATTTTAGCAGCCTTCTTAATTTGTGTTATAAGTACTGGAAGTATCAACAGTCTCATGGCCACAGTTGACAGAGAAATTGTTATCCACCTACAATAAAGGATCCAGAATACTCAATTCAAGATGTACGAAATCACAACACTTGCAAATACCAAACAAGGTACAGTGATTCAAAACACCAGAACCACCTAGTTTTTTTTTTGGAGGGAACAGAACAACCTAGTTGCTTTGATATAACATTTGTGATCAAGACTTCACGGAATACAAATATACAATTGGTATACCCGTGTCATTTGGAGATAAAAGGTAGAAACAGAACTAAGTAGAGAACTAGAGATTGAGTATGATTCCCTTTCACCACAACACACTATATGAGAGAATTTTTTTAAAAAAAAACAAAGCACACTACATCAGAGGTATTCAAACCAACTAAACCAATGAAGAGCTCATTTAAAATGTACGAAATTTACAGCAAACATATCAGTTTCCCCCATTACTAAACCGGAGAGCTCCCACATTTCAAATGGGGCCTAGAGTTCCAACCAATTGCAGCAAGAGCAGTAACGACAGCGAAGGACGCATACCATGGGATCCCGGTGAGGTTATGAAATCCGTCGAGGATGTCAATCAGCGAGCTGACAGCGAACCCCGACGCGCTTCCGCCATCTCCTGCGGCGGCTACTCCGGCTGCATCCGCCGACGCCGCGCTGGTGGCGACCACTTCCCCGAAATCAGCACCACCCGCGTCGTGCAGGTACGCGCCTTCCCCCTCGGCGCGCACGTCCTCCTCGGGAGCCTTCTCCGCCGCGGCGGGGCCGGCCGGCGGCGGCGAGCGGGGGTACCAGGAGAAGCTTCGCGCGGGGACGGCAGCGAAAGGGACTAGCAGCGGCGGCAAGCGAGGGGGTGACGGGAGCAGCGGCGCGCGGGTGGTGGGGCTTGGATCCGAGGCGGAGAGGTGGTGGTGGTGGAGCACGGCCAGCGGCCGCGGGAGGCGCCGACCGCCGCCGCCGCCGCCGCCGGCGAGGCGGCCGAGGAGGCGAAGCGGAAGCGCCATGTGGTTTGTCGTGACGTGGCGTGACGTCACAGGAGGGTGTAAAGCACGTGACGAGTTCTCTCCGAGCCGTTCGATTAGGAATGGACGGCTCAGATCCAATATGGCACATACATTTTCACAAAACCCCCTTGTTTTTGTAGTAATTACAATTCTGGGCCTAGGCATCTCCCCTCTTCTCGGGCAAGAACCCTAGCCACCTTCGCCAGTCTCCGGCTCGAACGCGGCCACGGCGAGGCTGCGCGGCCAGTGATCTTGCGGTCTAGGCGGCGGCGGCGGAGGAGGAGGAGGAGGAGGAGGCGTCGAGATGGTGGTGGCATCCGGTGGAGGGCGGAACGCGTGGGCGAAGGAGATGACCATCCGCCGCAGGATTACCAGCATGTGAGCTACCTAACCTGAACTCCTCGGATTTTCTTTTTTTAAAGAAAAGATTTAGCTGTCAAGTTCATGAGTTTGATGCTTTGTGTGGATAACGATCTCAGATTCAACAAGACGCGGGAGCATTTTCCGTCCCTGAAAGATTACAACGACTATCTTGAGGAAGTCGAGGATATGAGTAAGTTGTTTTATTACTTGTCTCTAGGTTGGTCATCATTCAACAGTAAGGAAGCAAATGTGATTGATCAAGATTTGCTTGTTTGAAATTCGTTTTTCAAGCTTTCAACCTGATCGAGGGGATAGATGTCGAGGTGATTGAAGCTAAAATTGCCAGATATCAACAGGAAAATGCTGAACAGATATATTTGTCCCGGGCTAAAAGGGTATGCTGTTCATCATTGCGGGCTCTCGTGCTGTATTTGAATTTTATGATTGATAACCATCTTATTTCAACATCTTTTTGTCTGTAGGCCGAAGATCTTGCTGCCGCACTTAAAGCAAGCAGAATGAACCCTGGCAAGGCTGGTGCCAATGACACGGTTAGTTGATAGTATTAGCATTAGATTATACAGTTAATATATTTTTGCTCCTTCAACAGTATAGGTGTTGAGGATTTTATGGTTGGATGTGTATTTTTTATATATACATGAGAAATTCCATCATCTTTGAATGATTGCAAGTCTTCCTCTTTGGAGAGCATCATGTATGAATCTTAATAGATTCTAGCTGTAAAAAGCTCTGATAAAATTTCTTCAGAAAATGGTATTGAAGGCATACTGAATTTTACTCCCGACTGTACAAAGATCTAATAAAATTTCTTCAGGAAATGATATTTAAGGAATTACTGAATTTTAAAGTGCAAAACTTTAGAATCTTTTTAACTTGACATCCTATCAAAAGACGTTTGATACAAGACTTGAAAGAAGAAATACTGTCATCAAATTGTGATCAAGCTGAAACATGCCACCACATGAGTACATGACTAAAGTAGAAATTATAGGGTGCCGATGTAAAGGCCAACCATTGGTTTCAGAAATGATGTCTCAGTTGACAATGCATTTCATATCCTTAAACAATTTGGTTTGCATAGTAATCTTTCAGCTTCACAAATTGGCTGTTTAAATTATCTGGCTATATTATGGCATTACTATGTACCATGTCAGTTTGGACCTTACTTTGTAGTATTTGCTAATTTTGTTGAGCTATTCTATTTCATCTGATTTGACTACTTCATGTGATGTGAGGTAGAATTGTAGAAAGAATTTGATGTAAACTTCTCGTTCTTCTTCTCTGTAACAGCAACACTTGAAATTGGTGCATTCATCTATTGATTCGATACACTGTAATATGTTCTGTTCTTTTGTTTATTAGAAAGATGTGGTATTTATTCCAATACTTGGTACTCTTGCAACTTGTAACAGGCTGCTGGAAGCTCTCAGGGCATTAGTAGTGGCGCGGGAGTTCAGGAAGGCCAGTATGCGCCTGCTGCTGTTCCCGGTGGGCTAGCTCAGCCTCGGCCAACAGGGATGGCCCCTCAACCGATCGGCGGTTCATCGGTTCCTCTTCAAGGAGATGATGAGGAGACCATGAGGCTACGTGCGGAGAGCGGGGCTCGAGCTGGTGGATGGTCCATCGAAATGTGCAAGAGAAGAGCATTGCAGGAAGCGTTCAGTACCATATTCGTCTGACGGTCAGATTAGACGCAAGAGCACCTAACATGTAGGATGCCTGATAATTTTGTGGACATCCTTTGGATGAGATGATGGGTTTTTACTGACCGATTGACATGGTTGGCTTGGTCCAAACATATGAATTTTGAGCACTTGGGATTGAAGCTCCAATCATCGTCAAGTGGCCTGGTGATTGGAAAAGACCATCCCTTCTCATTCTCAGCAATCTGGAAAATTGTGCATTTCTGTTTTTGTTCATAGCATATGAATGGTGATTGGAAAAGACCATCCCTTCCCATTCTCAGCAATCTGGAAAATTGCGCATTTCTGCTTTTGTTCATAGCATATGAATGTTGTGTGCTTGCCTGACTAAATTATCAAAAGCATATTGTGATAGTGAGACTGGTTGGTTTTCTTATTTGTGATAGTTCGTTGTTTCTCTAGCTTGGCCATGGCCCATTTGTAATACAAAATCTTTTCAGACTCAAACAGATCGGACTACATTATCAAAATTAGGAGCTGCCAATTCGCATGAACCCCCAACATGACTAAATATACAGTTCTTATCACATCCTTCAGCTCTTGTAAAATCTACTAGTAGATTATTTGTAACAACATTGGTTTTACATGTTACAATTGTTGGCCCTCTAATCAATCGAATACTTCATGCATTCATGGTCAATAAAATGAAATTGTTACACAGTTATAACTTACATTCAGGAACCTATCCTATCTCCTCTTAGAAACTGGGCTTACCTTGCAAACTTCCACATCAAAACCAAAGTCCATGAGAACAAGTATCCAGGCACGCTGTTGCTCAGACAGCTGGTCCCTTGGCCCTTTGACCTCCACAAGTTTAGCTTCACCGCCTCCTCTTTCATCAAGGAAACGCCATAGCAGCAGATCAGGCATTCCACTGGACCAGCTTCTGTAATCGAGGGCTAGATGCCGGAGCAGAGATGCCAAGCGATGGCCACCGGTGCATACGACGGCAGCTCGTAGATCTGTCAAGGAATGCCGGTCCCAGTTAACACCCCTGCAGGATGTCCCCTGGTGTAGCTCCCAGGAGCTGATAAGAATCTCTTCAGCAATGCCATCTTGAATCTTTTTCAGCTGGGACTCTATAAGGTCCTTTCTTGATCTGTAGAATTCATCAGTTTCCAGGTCCAGAGGGGCTGTCTGCAAGAGAATGTGCAAATCAAGCTATGGATAAGTGTGTTGACATGTAATTTTCTCTTTAACCGAATAGAGGGTTATCATGAGCTCAATCTATTGACAGTGATTAACAGGAGCAATAGGATGAATCCATTTTAAGAAAGGTATGGCCATTTTACAGAAAATACAGCATTCAGCATCGACTCAAACATGCCTTTAAAAAGCAGAATGGTTGTCAGCCATGTATAGACATCAAGCACATGGCTAAGCACTATTGAAAACAGTGTGACAAAAAGTTGACGCGTAGTTCATCTACCTGAAATTTAGTCTGGAAAACATCTGGTACGTCTGAAAATATTGCATCCCACATTAGAAGGCCAAAGATAGTCATCCAAATGCCACCTTCTGAATGGGTACCTCGCCAACCCCCTCCTTCATCTGCGTAATATTGTAAAGCCAATTGTTCTACCCCACAAAGCTCACCATCGTATCCGTAAAATACATTCTTTGCACCTGTTTCACAATTTAACGGTCTTCCTTCTATATTTACCTGTTATAATCAACAAAGTGCCACGAGTATATTTACTTATTTAGCAAGATTATACAACCTTGATGCAATAGATCAGAAGGAAAATTTCTAATGTCCACAATGAGGAGCATCAGGTGATATGTACCTCTTTTATATTTGTCGTAACAGCATTGGCATAACTGGGAACTTTCCAGCGCCGTGGAGGTTTGCTTAAACGCACAACTCTCCTTTGCAGTGCAATCTTTGAACCAGCACGGACCCATGGATCAATTACCCCTGCTTCAGCTATTGACAGGCTCTCATTGGAACGATTCATGTGCTCCAAATCAACAGATAGTCTCAAAGCCCAATATCCTCGCTTTCTATCCGAAGCAACAGTACTGAGTAGTCTCTTTAGAACTCTTATTGCATCAGTATACCTGTAAAGTAAAATCCGCACGAAATGTGCAAATGAGTTAATTATGTTTACTATTTCATGTAAGGAAGAAACTAGTATGGCTAAAGCTTCAGGTCAACTAAATTTTACACAAACTTAGAAATTCCATATATCTGAACTTCTGAAGAGATTGCTTTGATTTTATCGATAATGTTTTCAAAATTATTCCTTACCTACGGTCTCGTTCATAAACAGATACACCTAACGTAAGTATCTTCGAATAGACCGAGGAAGCTGAAAAACGTGAGAAGAATGATGGGGGAGGTTCAGCCCTAGTTGCATTTTCTTCTTTTGGTGCTGTGCTTAGTCGATTCTCAGATAACTCAATGCATCTTGTCACCATTTCCATGTTACTATTATCAAGAGATTGATCCATTACCTGTGCCACTTGAATAGCCTGAATGCAGTATAGATAGTAAATACAATCGCGAAGAGGCAAGTTATATTTTTGGGGTGGAAACAAAAGTAAGATGAAAATTTAACCTCTTCATACTGTAGTAGATCACTTATTTCCTGAAAAACGCGGTGAGAAATGGTGCAGGCATAGACTGGAAACCTCACCAGACCAAGATCCACTAACAGAAAGAATGAGAGATCTTGATCACCATTTAGAAAAAAGAGTCTCTGCATAATTGAACACGATCATCATTACATGGAAAAAGTATCTATTTGGATGAAATAATGATGTTGACAGCATAAACAGTAAACATAGATTTAAGTTTTGCAACTAAAAATAGTTAGCATTCACCTGGACACGCCACAGAAGTTCATCAGCCACATCAGAAGTTCTTATGCATGTTCCTGTCCACTTCAGAATTCGCTTTGGTAGAATTGTGCTGCATGTTCCAGGGGTGAATTTTCTTAAAAGGCCATGATATCCACAAAGGCAACAAGCATAGAGCCTTTACCAGGTTCCATTACGATATAAATACAGAAGGGTGCTAAGAAGCTCATGTCGGCGTGTGCAGCTGACGTTATTCTGAAAGCAAAATAAAGTGGGGGAAATCCACTGAGTCAACCAGCTGGTGGACAGATACAAACTGAAAGGAGATGATACACAGGACAAAAGACTAATAGATAACTTTATCATCCAATGGTGAACTAGAACGAGGACTCTGAACTTCAGAGTGAGCTGCACACCAGTGCTGTCCATCCATTCAGAGTATATGTTACTTCTCCAATGCTTATCAAATTTTACGAAATCTTCCTCTCCATTAATTTGATCAAAACAAGATGTCTCTGCATATCTATTGCTGCACATTCCATGATAGCCCCTGTTACAATCATCTTGTTCCAAGTCTGTATGTATATGCGTGCATGATTTTTTTTCTCTTCTAGGTTCAGTGCTGAACTACTGATTGTATTTAGTATATGTACTGTCACATCCTATGTAACTCTCCCTAAATGGTAACATCATTTTGCAAGCTATCACTATAATGTTTGTGCTTTGTATTTTATCTAGCACATGCATCGCCATGTGTTATCAGATAAGTTTAATTGATACAAATATATATCAATAGCGACACTTGGCATTAATCAGTTGCAATACTTCTAGTAGTCTAATTAATCAACTTTGCAACTAAAAAACCCCCAAAGTTGTGCATTTTGAAAGTAGCCAGATATGAAGAAATTGTGATTTTGGGTTCTCTTAGAAAAAATGAACAACTGGTGATTCTCAAAGACTCAAAGTCAAGATGCAAATATTTGGACAGCAGCGGCATCACACTAGTTATTACATCAAGCAGTTAACTGGCCAAAAAGGATAGTGTACCAGACACAAACAAGCTTCACCAATCTTGAATATGACTATTTACTCAACATGCACAACATGCAAACATCAAACTTGTGCAATGCTGAGAAAAAAATATTAAGTACAAGATTTAAAACCTTTTGGAGCTCTTTTAGAATTTCTTTCATTTCAGGAACACTTAGCACGTCAATAACCTCCTTCAAATCATAGTTAGATAGATCATCCATGCAGGATATCATGTCAATATAACCTGCCACTATATAGGAAAGAGATCATGATTGAAGCAGCCAACATATGAATTAGTAAAAGTGAGCAGGTCCAGATTATTACACTTAAGTTCCATGGCTGCCTGCCCCAGATCTGATATCTCACGATATGAGATACTGCTCATTCGAAACCATGGCCCTACAAGAAATTTTAGGTGTTTATAAGTATGTGAACTACCTAAGGAACACAGGCATTAAAAGTCTAGAGGCAATTGTGGATCATTACGAATTAAATGAGAAGATCAACAGATGCATCAATTTATACAGAAATGTAGCAAACCCAAGGTAATTATTGTAGTATAGTAATACACAATATAAAATCCCTAGAACTCATAGATTAATCATGTAAGACTTAATCACTTTCAAGAGGTAAGAAAGCTGCGCAGAGAACATTTCAAAGTTAATGAGTGGATAGTCTAGGCAATCAAGTAGCACAGCTAGCCCCTTCTGAAAATAGTGCTCCCAAATTCATGCTGCACATCTGCTATTTATGTAAAAATAAATATGTAATCAAGAATGAAGTAAAATGAGCATCTCAGTTATTACTTGATGCCGATATAGCAACCTTTTCGAGTGTAGATCCTAACAAAGAGCCTTTGTCCATCATCTGGTAACAACTGAAAAGAGTCTGTTGAGGATAAGAACAGAGTCCTCGATGAGTACTTTCTAATTCACAAATATAAGATATATATAGTGGGGAGGAAATAAGAAACAACCTAAAAATGACTTTTCCTTGTCACTAAAAAGGTGTGAATGGTTTGCCATCACATCTGTTATCATCGAACTAAAATTTGTCTGGTATCTCGTACTGCTAGGTTGCAGCAAATTTCCATTTCCAACAGCACATATGAAATTTTCCCATAAGAACTGTGGATGCTTCAGATCATCATATGTCTCATTTTCATCTGTATATTTCTGGCACTTAAGCTGGATGGGAACATGATCAAGTTGTTGTTCAGGCACGCCAACCACACATCCCTAACAAAAAAAGAATAATTAGAAGTTGAATGGTTATTAACTTGGTAGTACAGAGTCACAGAAAAAGAAACATTACATCCTTCCTAAAGTAAATAAAGTGAATAGTTATTTCCACCAAAATTAATACAACTGATAAAGTGACCACCAAATAATTTCAAGAAGAAATAGAAATGCGGGGGTTAGGTGAAATAACATCGTCCCAACGCTCCGACTGGAATGAGTCGCTTAAAGAGAAGGACAAGCTAGAGAGCATGACAGTAGCATATAAAGTAATATCTGATTATGAAGCTGTCATATCTAATGCATGCATTAACATCAGGGACCATTAGCGAAGATGGCATGGGGTGAGATACTGAGATTTCAAAGATAATCTAATGCACAGGTCAATGTTGGTTCCCTTACCACCTATAGGATAGTTAAAGTAGAACTTGAAGGGAAACATAGCAATAGCTGCAGTTTCATCAGTGTAATGCATTCTACATAAATACAACACTTATATCCAACAGAATATGTTAATTCAACAAGGTAACCTAATGACAGCGGTTCTGCTGCGATATACAAAGAAGTAAGCTCACCTCGCATTCAATGTAGTGTCTGTCCAGTAGAGGAGCCAAAACTTTAGCCAGCTCTCGAGGTAAGTATCCAAGCATCTGTTCACATTCATAGCCTGCATAAAGCACCTATGCATGGTGTTAAGAAAAAAATGTCCACAGAAGAGGCATATCACAGGAATTTATTTAGACAAAATGGAAAACCTTGATAGCGTCAGGGTCCTTTGCATTCTGAGGATCTCGGAGAAGAGTAATGCTCGCACCTTCTTGCAATTCTATGTTTTCATGGAACCTCCTGCCCACTATGACAGTGTCAACTACTACCGAATTGCTAGAATCTGTCACTGAAAGCAAACCAATAGTACTCGAAGTTGCATCAGTTGAAGGCATGTGGGACAAGCACTTCTTGACTACACCATTGTTTGCAGTATTTTCTGTATATGGTAATAATACATTGGGTGGTAGACAGGTATCACATGTCTCCGAGATGTCAGGAGAGCCATGCAGGCAGCCAGGTGATGAAGCATTAGCACTTCCCTTTGAATTGACCTTGTCATTATTCAACGAGAAGAAAGCTCCATCGCTAGATACATTTCCATCGGTCGGTTCCATATGCTCTGCCTCATCACTGGTGTTCAAATTGTTCAAAGCGTAATCATCTGTGGCTTTTCTACTGAAACTGAAATCAAGAAGGGTGCTCTGAGTTAACTTCCGTTTTGTTCCTCTTGTAAGGCATATATCTGCATAGTTAAATGTCAGAATGAGAGAGTAAAGCTTTAGAATACTAGCAAGCAACCAACACAATAGTTAACTTGGGAAAAAAATAAGTTCTACACAATGAGCACAAACACATATATTTGACTTAAAGAATCAACCAAGAGATGACAATGCAGCATGAGAGTGACAAATTACAACGGCGCGAGCAGCCTAGAAAACATGAATATGCCAATTTGTAGCTTGTCATGCCAATTTGTAGCTAATCGCAGAAAGCTGGCTGCTTAGGCCTTTGGGTGGTATAATCAGAGCAACGTTTAGCCAGCTCGGGATGGAACTAGGCTACTGGCAGAATTTCCGACCAAACACGCGCGGCACAGCCAGCTTTCCCAATCACTCTCCTCTCCACCGTAGCAACACAGGGGAACACCCAACATCCCGCGGATTCACGGATTCGAGTACGAACCGAGGTGCGTGTTGACGCAGTAATCCGTGCCGCGGATGGACTCGCCGCAGACGGGGCACGCCACCCACCCCGCCGCGCCGGCGGCGTCGCCCCCTCCCGACGAAGAACCACCCGCCGCGGCTTCCCTCTCCGCATCGGCCGCATCATCCTGGAGAACACAGAAGGAGCCGGAGCAGAAGCGGTGAGAACGGTGGAACCGGCGATGCCGCGGGTGGGTGAGTTCGCCGCGCCGCGCGAGGTTTGACCAAACCTGAAGGGAGCGGGAGGGGGGCACGGCGAGGGCGAGGGCGGCGGGGAGAGGGGAGCGGCGGCGCCGCCCGATGAGGCGGACAAGGCTCTCCCGCCCGGTCAGCATGGCCTCCTTCGCCGCCGCCGCGGGGGAGACGAGGTGGCGGCGCGGCGAGCCCGGGAAGGAATGGAAGTGGTCGAGAGAGCCGCGGCGCGCGGTTTTTTTTCTTTTTTTTTTTTTTTTTTGGAATTGCTATAAAACTTCTGCAAGTTTTTTTTCTAATAAAACTTTTAAATTTATGATTATCGAATTATCTCGAGATATGTACATGAAATTAAAATACTAGAAAAAATTTTCGCACAAATCATGTGTAAGATATCGGTGCTAACCAACCAATCCATAGTTGATATATCGTATTTATGGTGTAATTATAAGGGCATCCACAATGTATCATATGAATGAGCTATAAAACTTTATGACTAGCCATATATATTGCAGCACTAGCCATAAGACATTAAATGCTAAAACTAGCCATAGACTTATGGTTCAACCTTAAGAAATAAAATAATGAGAAAAACACACCTGCAATGCAGTTATAATATAGTTATTGGGTAATTACAGTATAATTATATTTTAATCATAATTAATTATATTATGAGTGTATTTCAAATATAATTACATTTAATTATAATATGTATGACAGTTTTATAAACCTACCGCAGTTTTTAAATTATTTTTATTTGGAATTCTGTTTTTCGCGGGGTAGGGTGGTTTTGGTACATGGAGGGGTGCACCGTGGCAGAGATTGTTACGAAAGATTGCAGGTTTCGTGCACGTTGTTTTTGACTTTGAGCCAGCTATGAGCTAACCCTTGTCCTTCAGAGGGAAAAGAGAGATCATCAGTACTGAAGCTTGTACGATACCACACAACTTTCTTGTGTACATTGAAATTTATGCTATGGTATTTGTATATAGTTTTCTTGTTGAAATGGTTTGTCTTAGAGATTTTACAAGGACCACATTTTTTATCATCAAAAGAATTTTTGTAGTTAAATATATCAAATAAATATTTGTGTATACCATCCACTATGCTTTGGAGTTTAGTATGTCATATTGTCACGAACAATATAAATCCAGATTTATTTGTGTTTCACATTTAGGGTTCAGCATTTAACTTGGACATTGAAACTACATGTTACGAAAAAAATATATATAGATAAATATAGTATGGATTTGTTGTGACATATATGGGTGAGCGATTGTTTGACTTGGCTATATCAATTTGCATATGTGAAGGTTTAACATGCGAAAAAAGTTTATAAAAATATAAACAATATAAAGTGTTGTCTTAACTGAGAAATCTGATTTTATCCCCGTTACTTAAAAGCGCATACATCTATCCATTCTCCTCCCCTATATTACAGTCACACGAACAATGCTCCTTCTAAAGAAAAACAGAAAAATCGTTTCCCTTAGAAACAACGTGCTCTAAAAAAGCTCTACATGCAACCGTTAACTCATAGAAAACTAAACCATTGATCAATTTCCATCATATTACAACACACGTTCAAGGAGTCTTTAGTAATAAGAAGAGCACAAAACATTTTACTACAAGAAACTTAATGAAGAAAATGCAAGAGCTATATATCGTGAATAAGACCATCAATAACACATGAAATTTGCCCCTTTCAACCAAAACCTTTCTTTCTTTAGGATATATATATATATATATATATATATATATATATATATCATATTTTGCTTCACACCTAAAATAAAAGCTACACAATATTATCTCACTTATAGTGTGACGGAGCTCGTGGCCCCTCACCGGGAGGCCGCACAGGCCCCCCTTTGCCGGTTCGGCCGGGGGCTCAGGGTGAGATCTCAAGCTCTCTCGGTACGTGGAAAGATCGCCACCTCTCAAGAACGCGAGACACGGGCGATGTATACAGGTTCGGGCCGCTGAGAAGCGTAATACCCTACTCCTGTGTTTTTGGTGGATCTGTGTATGAAGGAGCTACAAAGTGCGAGCCGACCTCTCCTTTGTTCTAAACTCTGAATCTTCAGAGAATCAACCCCCCACCACCTATGGCAAGGTCCTCCTTTTATACTTCAAGGGGATACCACATGCACCCCTCCCTTTCCAAACTGGACTTTTCTTCTTTTCATAAATGGACGGAGATTTGCACGGTCGTCCTCCGAACATCCTTCTGATGGGACGGCACATACCTACCTCCACTTCTGACTGAGGCGGGCACGTTGCGGGAAGGCGGCTGTGTACTGACGGCATGAGCAGTGTCAGACCGGTCACAAATCGGTCATTCTTGTCCACCACACGCCGGCTCAGCAACGTGCATGTTTGCCCTTTTTCAAACAACATCTTGCTTGTAATGGTTAGGATGAAGCCTGGCATATATCGATCGGGGCTAACGTGTCATCTCTGGGACGTAACACGCTAGCTCCAGCCGGGGACGAGTGCCTAGGAGCTCTCGTCTAGACAGGATGGGGCGAAGCATGCGTCTGACCGCCTGTCGCCACCTAACCCGCGATTTGACCGGTCTGTGACTGGTCACAGACCGGATAATCGAGTGCACTGCACTGCATTTCGTGCGGCGTGACACGCTTAGCCGTGGTGCAATAAATGCGGTTAGGTGAGCCCCGCTGTGCTCACCTAACCCATACACGTGGAGTAAAAAACGCGAGGGGTCGGGGCGCCTCAGCCCTCGGGGGCGAGGCTGGAGTGGCCCGACCCCCCCCCCCTCGGGAAGACCAAGAGGTGGGCGCACACATCACCCTCGGGCCCGACGTCCCCCGAGGGTGCCAGGCCACGTGGGCGATTGTGTCTGCCTCAAGCCTCGAGTCATGATACTCCCGGTCCCATGTCACCGACAGTAGCCCCCGGCGTTACGCCTGGGCGATCGTCCTTCTTATGGGGAGCGGCCGGGCGTGACGCCATTCCTAAAGCCTGGTGACAGGTGGGACCGGTCTCCATGGTTGGGCAAAAACCCAACGGTCTCAAACCATGCACACCAGTAATGGTAATTTGGCTGTCAATAATGGGCGGTCTCTTCAAGACTGCCACATCAACTGAGTGGCGCACGAATCTGGGCGAGCTGATTTGCCTCGCCTGGAGATACGGTAATGTCGCTTCGGTCGGCGAGCGTAATTAACGCGCGCACGATACGATCTATCTCGACTGCCGCAACCGCATATCCATCTCACGCGCCATAGGCGGGCGAATGGGATTAGTGGAAGCGTGGGCGCGAGAAACGAGGGGGCGAAATAATGGGCGCGAGAAACGAGGAGCCGGGCGCAGCGTTTGGCAAGGGTATAAAAGCACTGAGGATGGGATTTGTCTCTTTCCTTTCGCCATCATTTCCCTTGCCTTCGCCGCTTGCGTCCTAACTCCTTCTTCCCTGCGCCCTTCTTTCGCCGCACGCGCTCGCTCTTCATCTTCTCTTCGTCCGGCGCCATGGCACGGGGCTCCGCACTGCTTGATGGTAGCGTGCTGCCGCCTTCTCGCATTGTGAGCGAGAAGCAGGCTGGGTTGCCGCGCCGCTTCATGCCGGAATCCGCCTCCGGCCGTGAGATAGTAATGCTGGGTGAGGGACGCCCGGCGCCAGACTACCCGGGGCGGTCCGTCTTCTTTCTCCCCTTCGCAATGGCGGGGCTGGTTCCGCCATTTTCTTCTTTCTTCATGGATGTCCTGGAGTTCTGCGATCTCCAGATGGCGCACCTTACCCCCAACGCAGTGATGACATTGGGCATCTTCGCACACCTGTGCGAGATGTTCATTGGGGTGCGCCCATCTCTCCGGCTGTTCCGGTGGTTCTTTACCGTGCAGTCGGTATCGCCACCGTCGGTGGTCGGCGGCTGCTATTTCCTGCCGCGGGGGCCGGTGTTGAACCGCTACATCCCCTGCGTCCTCCGTAAAAAGTGGGATGACTGGAAGAGCGACTGGTTCTACACCCCCCTCGCCGACGAAGCGCGCCTCCGACTTCCAAGTCAGCCCCCGGCGCAGGCCTCCAGCTGGCGGGCGCCGGTAGATCTGGGGGATGGCTATGACGCCGTCCTTGACCGCCTCGCGGGCCTGCGATCCCAGGGGCTCACCGGGGCCATGGTGTACGGCGACTACCTCCGTCGTCGGATTGCGCCGCTCCAGCGGCGCGCTCGGGCCGCCTGGGAGTACACCGGGTCCGAAGACTACATGCGGACTCACCAGGGAGCCAGATGGGATTGGGCCCCCGAGGACTTCAAGATACTGGTCCAACGGGTGCTAAATCTCAACTCCGTGGAGGCGTCCCTTATCCCCCACGGTATCCTCCCCCTCTGCAGCGACCCAGATCGCACCTCCATCTTGACCATTATGACGGCGGTCGGGGCCTCAGAGGAGCAGGCTCCTAAGGGCCATGACGGCGCAGGTGGAAGCCGCCGGGGGGATCAATCTACCCCCGGAGGGGGTCGTGCTTCTGGGCCCCGCGTTGGGGGCTCGGGGAGCAACCGCCCTACCGACGCCCGGGGGAAGAGGAAATTGGGAGGAACACCTCCCCCATCTCCTCCCCGAGGGGGCGGGGCGGTGCGTGCCAGCAGCAGGCGCCCGGAGGGGGCCGCGCCAACATCGCAGCCCGAGGGGGAGCGCAAGAAGAAGCGGCTGCGCAAGATGGGGGAGACAGAACCATCCCGGGGAAACCTAATTTCCCCTCCAAGGTGGTCATTTAACCGACCCCCTCGCAGGTTCGTCCCACGCTCATTGCGACCGTCTTTTCTTCTATCCCAAAAGCAAGTTTTCTCTTACCCATCTTGTTTGCCTTCTGGTTTTTCTTTCTGCTTCAGTGATATCCCATCGCGTTCCTCCCACCATCCCAAGTCCGGCCAGTCCGAGGCCGAAGATCCGGCGGCTACAGAGGCACGGAGGCGGGAATCTGACCGGCGGGAGGCCGCAGACCGCCTACGGGAAGCTGAAGAGGCCGCCCGGGAAGCCGCCCGGGCCCGCCAGGCTAAGGATACCGCTCGGGAGGAGGCCGCCCGGGCCCGCCAAGCCGAGGAAGCCGCTCGGGAGGAGGCCGCCCGGGTTCGCCTGGCCGAAGAAGCCGCTCGGGAGGAGGCCGCCCGGGCCCGCCAAGCCGAGGAAGCCGCTCGGGAGGAGGCCGCCCGGGAGGAGGCCGCCCGGGAAGCCGCCCGGGAGGAGGCCGCCCGGGTTCGCCGGGCTGAGGCGATGGC